ATAATAAATATAAAATAGCAGGTTACTCGATTCGATTTCTTAATATGAACTGAGTCCCCAGAAGTCAAGGTTGTCTGCAGCCAAAACCAATCAGAATTCAATGTCACCAGCCCGACCCGGATATCATAAAGAAGCCGCCCCATGAGACACAATAATTACCGGCGAGACAAATATCAACCGAAGCCGTTATTTATAGTTATTGGGCCCTACGAGGTCACGTTTGATTCATTACATGTATTTTATTTTAATGTAAAAGCCCGACAGATGTAAAAGCCCTATATATATGTGCTTAAAGGGGGCTACTATTTTCCTTTTTCTTATCTTTTTTCTTATCCAAATGAGGCGGCACCTATTATATATTCTCCCCGTCATCTGAAGGGAGGGGACTTTCTTTCCTTTATCTGAAAAACAAAAGAGAGGGCCGTGCCTGAGGGGAAAAAATTCTCTCTATCATGCTAAACATATACATAACTTCTTCAATTTTCTGGCTTTTATTTACACAAAAATTCATTCGTTTTATACAAAAATTTAATATTCAAACAATTCTCCCAATACCCTATGTTGATACAATTTTGCATATCAACAGTTTGACGCTAGAAGGAGGGACCTCTACTCGAAGAGAATAATTCGAGGTGATTCTCCGACTTATAGACCACAAGGAACAACACCAATTAATTCCAGTTTTAATTCGTGGTAAGTCCGATATTTGTATGTTCCTGGCAGATTCCTGTGCTTCTGCTCAAAAAACATCCCAAAAACAGAGTCATCCCCTCTCTGTCTATGAAGTTCTCTAAAAAAACCAATTTCTCTTGAACAAGATGACTAGGAGATAAAAAGAAAACAAAAAACAAACGCCAAAATAGTGTACTGTATGTAGTTTGTTTTCTGTATCTGGTTTTTCCACCGCTCTCAGATTTTTATCATCTCTCCACGTCATCTTAGGAGGGTGTATTCAATTAAGATTTATAAGGACTTTTTAAAACTTTTTAAATTTGATGACTTTTGTGGACTTTGTAGAACTTTCATGACTTTTGTGGACTTTTTGAGACTTTCAGAAAATTTTCATTAGTAATTTTTAAGACTTTCATAATGGACATTTTAAAACTTATTGAGACTTTTATATACTTGCAGTTGTATTATTATGTTTGAATAAAATATTAATAAACGTAACATAATAAGCAATATAAACAAGAATAAATGAAAAAACAAGATTTATATATTAATCCTCTAAAAATTTATGAATAAACTCATTTTTATGCGAAATGAGTTATTCACGAACAAATTGTTTAGGATTTTAGATTTATTAAACGAGTAAATCGATCAGCTTCAACGAGTGGAATCGAGCAGGGCCTTATATTTGTTTGTTAAAAGAGTACAAGCTTAAATATGTGTTAGACATCTCTGCTATAACGACACTTATAATCAACCCAAATTAAGATATATTTATCTAATTATTGATTGATTTTATTTTATTTTATTATTATTATTTTTTGTTGCATAATGTTGTTATATTAGAAAAATATTATTAGAATATATTTTTACAAGATACAAACGTTGCCCAAAAACAGTAATTGTATCTTATAAAATTATGAATAATATTCAAGACATTTTAATATTAACAAATAAACTATTTGAACATAATATAATTTTTTTAATATTTTGAAATAAACATTTACAAATAAAAAGAAAGAACAAATAAATTATTTGCACGTGCAACTATGGAAGCATTAATTTATGAAAAGTCAAATTCACAAGATAACAAAATGAGAGAATAAGAGTATACACCCATAAAATAAGCATAATAAAGAATATATAAAATAAAAAGATCACATTACGTTATGAAAATAAAAATTACACAAGGTATCAAAATAATTAAGTAAATAATAGAGCATGAAAATGAAATGAGATACAAAGTCGTGTTAGAAAGAAAGAAAAAAAAAAGAGAGAGCATGAAAAGAGTCACATAAGTCCAACAAAATCTCACCAATATTGATGAGATTTCTGTTGAGACTTCTCCTTTGTAATTTTGTTACAAAAGTCTCTAAAAGTCTCAAAATTTAAAAAGTCTCACAAAGTCTTTCTGTTTTGAATACCGAGTGACTTATTAAGACTCTTAGAATGTTTTAATTGAATACCCTGAGACTTTTAGAGATTTATTAAAAGTCATGAAAAGTCTCAATTGAATACAGGTAAACTTTTCAAAAGTCTTTAAAAGTTCTAATTGAATACATCAGAATTCTAAAAGTCTTAAAAAGTCTCTAAAAGTTGAAATGGAGTACATCCCCCTTACTTTACTATTATCTTTCTAAGTTGTTATCATATTCTTATCTCCAAGTCTGCGTACGTTGAAAAAAATTTTTTTGGCAAGATAGACCCTCTGTTTTTTTGCACAAATCCGGCAGCCACCTCAAGCTTCTGTCCATAACAATGGTGGTTTCTTTATTTTTTCTCCATTCTTCAAAATTTTTATTGTACAGACCAAAAAAAAAAGTACCAAATAAACACAGATGAAACGAAACCTCTCATTTTCTTCGACGGCCACCGAGCTCCACAAATCGGCCGAGAGCGACTTCAACAGACCGGGCCCGACTTCAGACTTCTCCGAACTGACTTCGGTTAGACCGACGTCTTCACGGCCTATGGCCGACTTCACAGAATGAGCCGGACGACATAGCTCGAGGCCCGAACTCTTCTCCAAAATGCAGCCAAGCTGACGTCAGAAACTGCTGGCCACCAAAATCCAAACCATGGCCGACTTTGCCATCTTCGACTTTGCAACGCCCTGGCCGACCTTGTCAATGCCTTAACCGTATAAGCCGGGGCCAACCTCATCATCTTCGGCTAACCTCATCATTGCTGGAAGTAAAAAGTTGTAGCTCAGGTTCGTCGAGGCCCGACTTCGCTGTTGCTGACATCGCCGACTTACCATTTCTGAGCTTGGCTTAACATCCGACCCGACCTTACTTTCGGGGTCGATCTCACAGCCGGGTGACTTCACCGTCTTACAGCCCGAATTCATCACGGCGAGCCTCTGAAGCTCAACTGAGCTCCTAAATCCCAATAGCCGTACTGAATTTTACAGGTTCGGAGATACAACGACTTCACAACTGAAGCCTTCAGGATGAGCTGA